AAGCCTTCAAGGTCCTCATGTAGGACCTTGACACACATCTAGATCCCTGATCTAGAGCCTGAATTAGAAACCAGGTGTTTGGAGACCACAGGCCACTTTGACACCTTCAGTGTTCAACTCATGGGGTTCTGTAGCCAGGGGCATTGACCAACATCAAAAAGACTTTAAAAAGGCAGTCCCTTCCTGGCAAGGTACTCCCTGACTTCAGGAACAAAGCATCAATGGAACCAATCCAGCAAAAGGGTTCTCACTGTCCAGGCCTTCTTGTTATGTAACCAAAAAGATAGCAGCTGGTGTTCATCTTTTCCCTTCAAGGCTGGGGGTTAGCAGCTTTATAGATAAGGGCAATCCTGATCATAAACCCAACTGCATTTGCACAAAACAGCAGTTAGCCTCTCCCTCCCTGCCTTAAATCCTGATACCTACTTCTCTTCCTTACTAATAAATGTCCTCTGGGACATTTTCTTCCAGAATAGGGTACTTTGCCTTAAAAACCTGCTCAGACAGATATCCTTTCTCCTCAGTGATTTTCTCAATGGTATTTGGGAACTCGTCTGCTGCCTCTTGGTCAGCAAAAGCTGCTTCTCCTGTTACCTTGCTATTTGTAAAGCTAAACCTCTTTCTAAAATTATCAAACCATCCTTTGCTGGCATTCAATTCTCTAGTTTTAGATCCTTCACCTTCCTTTTACTTTAAGTCGTCGCATAATGATTTCACCTTTTCTTTTCTCAAATCATCTTTGAGTCTACAGGTATGCCTTTCTTACAGCAATCCTGCACCCACATAAAAGCTGCATTTCCAATATGAGATAAAAGGGTATTTTGCAAAAAGTGCAAGGTTTCTGTGCCTGCTGGCATAGCTGCAGCAATGGCTTTGTGAATTTCCTTTTCTTTTTTTTTTTTTTACAATGTTCCTTACGCTGGATTCATTTATCCTCAGATGGTGTGCACTGCAGCTTCAGACCTTAATCTATGGTACACATCAAGCAATTCAGCTTTTTCTTGTGGTGTCATGATTTTTCTCTGCTTCTTGGGAGCAATCCCAGCATCACTAGTGGCACTTCGATGGGTCCCACAGTGTTACTCAAGGGTTAGGATACTGCACTAAACATGACGAAAAATATGCAAGAACTGCGAGAGATCACTTTTTACTACGATCTGCAATTTACTGCAGAGACAAACTGCTCACGGGGAGATGATAAGTGTCACACATTTGAAGCAGGTGCTCAGAACACCTGAGCTCACTGCACTAGCAACAGGAGGTGGCTAGGAAATTATTATGGTAGTATATAGCATGTGCTATAGTTAATTTTATGCAGTTACCATTTAATACTGCATCTTCACACTTGTTTACATTTCTCTCCACTGTAAATGGTGCCACATATAGTCTGTTAAGTATTTGTGTGTGTAAGTTTTGGTAAATTTTAACTTTTTATAATAGATTTATGTGTATTTTATGGTTGTAACTGATACAACAGACTGGTACCTACATATATTTTATGCATTCGTGACATGCTTAACGTTTTCTTAATTTTTTTTTTTATTTCTAGGCTACAGGGTTTGTCTGTGGACTTTTTCAAATTGTTGCAAATCTCCAAAAAATTTTTCAATACATATACTGAAAAAATCCATGATAAGAGAATCCATAGAATTCAAACCCATGTTGTTCAAGGGTCAACTGTAGCATGATTTACCCCAAGTTCTATACTATCCAATCTGTAATACCTTGAGAATAAACATGATTATAGGTTTTTAATTTTTCCACCAATTTTAGAAAAGCAAAAAATAAATACCTACAAGTCTATGAGAAATTTTGCCTCTTAAACTTTGGGAGATGTTGGAAAGAAATGCCCACTTTCACCTCTTCCCCGTTTTACTGTGTGCTGTTTTCTATTGTGAACATGTCCTCCAGGATGTTCTGTGATACATAGTTAGTGTCTCTTCCTCTATGCATGGGGCTTTCAGGTGTTTTTCTTGCCCACAGAAATGGCAAAATCATTCCCAAGCTGCCCACTGGCCACAGGATGCTAATGTCCAGGACGCCTTTCTACTGGAATTATTCTAATCTAACTAACTAGACTAACTAATTTACTGGAATTATTCTGAGGCCAAAATTTAACACAAGTAGAAAGTTATGTTTTACACTGATATAAAGAGTAGAATTCAGTACCCCTCAATAAATAAAACAAAGATTCAAAGTAATGTAACAGAAACAGTTACATCAAAAATCAAAACATTAAATTTCTAAAATACATTAGCAAGTAGATAACATAGTCAAGAAAGAAATCAACTAGGTGGCATAGGAATTTTTTTAAAGCCATTTTGAAAATACAAGGTCCAAGACACATTTGAATTTGTGCGTGTGTGTATGTTTACATTGTTAAGCTGGGTTTGGTTACTGGGAGATGAGTGATTATATATTTATTCCTTATCTATTCATTGAGTTCATCATGGGAGTCTGAAAATCCAATTTTTTAAAATTTATTGTAAAGTCCCAAGACTCACTGGGGAAGAAGCTATGATTTATATAATCTTAAAACTAAAGGGAAAACATATGGTGCCATGTCAGAGTAGGGCCAAGACAGCAAAACACCGTGCAGGCTGGGCAGCTGCCCTTGGTCCAAGGAGGAGAAATAGAAAATGTTGGGTCTGGATTTTGCTTCTGAACCAAGGAACCACCCACTATAATGATTGTCACTCCCTGGCCATCAGATTGACCAGTCCTTCATCCTTGGTCCAGGCGGCAGGAGTGAGTGCCAGGGCGGTCTCTCTAACAGGATCCCCAGCGGGCAGGGGAGGCTTAAGAAGAAGCACCACAAACGCATGGGGAGACTTGCCCCTCCTGCCCCAGCCTGCTAGGATGGTCACCCAGCATTATGGCTTTACCTGCCTACCTTTCACAACAGCACTGGTGAAGGGAGGAGATTTACTCTTTTAGTTAATGAAGAAAAACCAAGGAAGCAAAAATGACACAACTTACAGTCACACAGAAATTGGCAGGATGAAAATAAAAACTCAGTGAGTTTGAGTTATTGCTGGACCCACTTAACGAGCATACTTGTAAAACAAACTTCAAGAGCCTCTCTGTGCTTCACCCCTCAGACTGAAAGTTTCTGTTCAGACTGTAAGTCAGAAGCACCAGCAGTATTTGTGATGACAAAACTGACCACTGATATGAGCAAATCATCACAAAGTTCTGAAGGGGTGGGAATGGAAGTTTTATGTGATGTAAAGGCCACAAATTACACAAGTAAATGTTACTGTGTATTTGTGAATATTTAACATTATTTAGACACCACACAGCACTTTTCAGAAGACTCTCCCTGACACCAACTGTTCCAGTTCATGAATAAAAACCCATGTCTTGAGGTCCAGACCAAGAAAAGGGGGTGGGGGAGAGGCTTGTGAGTGTGACGAATGAGGCTGAGTGTGAAAAAACCTCCCTCTGATTCCTGCTTCACTTTCATGTGAGTGTGAGAAAAATCAGCCAAGACCAGTGACTACGGCTCTGTCATCCCCCATAGTTAAAGGGAAGGAAACGGAGTGATTAGGGGATAAGTCAAGGGGACATGACAGGATTTATTATCCAGTGCTTCCTTCCCCTTAAAACTATTAGTGAGTCCACAACGCAATCTTTCTGAGTTCTTTGGTCTGGCTGTGTTTGTAAACCAGCTCCACTGCACCCAAGTATCACTGTGGACTCTGTAACATAGCTCAGTGTCTGGCAGTGTGCATCCTAAAGGTCACTTCACAGATGGACTTCCCTTTCAGAAGGGAAAGAGAAGGCAGAAAACCATCTTATGAATGTTCTCCTCTCTTGCCACTCAACACCTATACGCTGACTTGGTTTGAAACCACAGACTATATATAAGCTGAAGGCTCCGAGACGGATGGCCAGACCTCGCTCCTCTCTTGATTTCTGCTACCCCCTCCCAACTGGCCTATTGGTTCTAGCCTCACTCCCCTCAGCTGCTAGCGTGATCCCCTTAAACTCTGGACCTGCTTATGTCACTTGTACATTCGAACCATTTCAGAGGTTTCCCGCCATCCCAGAATGAAATCCAAATTCCCCAGTTGCATGCCAGACCCTTATGACCCAGAACTCTCCTACTTCTTTAATTTTACAGAAGCTCCCCAGACAATCCCACCCCAAATTGTACCTAGCGGTTCAGCCATTCTTCTCCACCTCTGTTCCAAAACTCTCTGTCCTTGTCCCACACCCAACAGTGTTTGCATCTACTCTTCTCCTGGCTTAGGCAGCTCCCACCCTCGCCCCTCATCTGCCCATTTCCATAGGTCCTCTGAGGTCTGGTTCTGGGGTCCTGCCCTCTATGGAGCCTCCCCAACTTCCCTCTCCACCACCTCACATTTCCACCACCTCCACAACAAACCACACTGATGTCTAATTAGTTCTATGCTTCTCCCTGAACTTGTGAACTCTGACAAGTTAAGAGGCTCTCCAAAATGTGCTTGCTGGGGGAATGAACTTGAGCAAAGGCAAGGAGGCGGACTTAAGACGCATTCCTGGGTGTGGAAGTGACGAGAATGAAGCCCGATTTTAGGAAAGGGACACTGGGAGTGCAGTCGGTGCCAGGCAGGACGAAGTGAAGGATGGAAGAACAGGAGGCGGGCAGCTCTGAGAGGAGCAGGCTGTAGGTGACCACGGTCCTGCTGGAGCTGCTGAGAGCAGGAGTGGAGAGGTGGGAGCAGTGGTAAGGCTCCTGGTCTGGATCGCACATCTGCGAACACTCTGGAAACGCTCCCAGTAGCAGCAGTTGTCGGCCAACACAGGCAAGTGAGGAAGGAGAACACCCCAGGCCCACAGATTCCCCGCCTGCACCTCCACTTTTCTCTCCACCCGGGAAGGCGGCAGATCCCAGGAAGCCATGGGTGGAATGCCCACAAGATGAATTCTGCCTCAAAAGCCATTCTGTTCCCCATCTGTTACCATTTGCCCAAAATGTGAGAAGACGGAGCTATGCAGGGAGGGGAGGCTCCTACCTGAGTTCCATCCCTAAGTCTACGGCTCCCGCTCGGAAGACACGTCACCTTCTGCCCCACTGCTGGCGCTGCGGTCTTCTTTTCGGGGGGCATTTCTCTCTTTGCTTGACTCAGAAGGCCCCTTGGCTCTGGTCTTTTCTTTCCTCTGCTGCTGTTTTTCAAGCTTTGACAGCTGATTATAAAAAGTAAAAAGACTTGTTTTACAAACGTAAACATGTGCCTGTATATCCAAAACACCGATTACTTCACACGCAGCAACCACTGAACACACTTCTGTCTGATAACCCGGTGTGCCTCAGGGTTTCAGTTGTGCCAAACGGGCTGCGAAATGTCTGTCAGTCAGGCACCCGAACTGTTAACACACATTAGTCACACGTGGGACCTCTCTGGACTTTCCCCACCCATAACTCATCTTGCCATGTGCTCTTTGAAAATGGTCAACAGGCTTCACTGACGGCTGAGAAGAGCCCAAAAGTGAGAAAGCTTTTATTCTGTTTTTTTTTTCCTCTGACGTCTCTAAAGCCTTTTTTAACCAAGTTGTCTTCCCACTTACTGTTTTCTAAAGAGTGATCAACACACTCCTCTATTTGCTGAAGGTAAGAGAGAAGGCTCTGAAGAAAGGACATTAAGCAATTTTAGACATCGTCTCAGCTCTCTTTGTTGAGACTGAACGTACCCACAGCCAAAACCCTAAGTGCTCCTAGTAGGCCGCATGGTGGCTACACAGGGACGCTGGCCCCGGGAGCCCTCTCAGACCTCCTCTGGGCCAGCTGGGGGACATGCCTCTGGCATCCGACTCCAGAGGAACGTGGGTCCACTTCTCCCCTGGATAGTCTCCCCAACTTGTTCAAGGAAACCACAGACTAGACAGTCGAAAGAAACATCATCTGACACTCTGAGCAACAGCAAGGACACTCCAGAAAGGCCTGCTGAGAAACTTGTCAGAGCACACTGGCCAAGTCTGGGCCCGCAGGATTTTCTTAGACCAAAAAAGCCATCTGTTAACGAGAGACAGCAACACCCAGTTTCATCTGCCTCCCAGATCAGGACTGCAAACATTTTATAGTTCACATGGAAAGAGGGAAACTTAATGAAGAGCTGGCTTCTCCCAGTCACTGTCCCACATCCAAGCACACAAAGAAAACACTTATTAACTAACCTGCCATGTCATCTCTTGATTATAGACAGACTTTGAATTGAATCTTAAGATAGATCTACAATCAGCAGCTCTCAATTTGGTCCAGAAAACCAAATGTATTAATGGTTGACTTATCTTTCCCACTCCCCATTTACCTGAAAAGCTATAGTAAACAATGAGGCTAGTTAATATGCTAATTAGACTTTGTGAATGAAGACATCGCTTCACCTTTGACCCATCAACTCTCCCCCCAAATAACTCCCCTGGACAAATTCCCATTCGTGTGCATAGGAAAGGCTCACAGGAATGAGCACTGCACTATTGTTTGTATCAGCAAAAAACCCAGAAACCAAATGTCCACTGACAGAAGGATAGATAAATGTAAATGTGGTATATAGTCAAATAAAGCAATACTGTAAAGCAGATCTACATATATCAAAATAGATCATGTTATGTGAACCAAATTAAGTTTCAAAAGGCTATATGCAGGATTCCATTTACACAAAACAACACTATACACTGATAACAGGCTTATGCTGATACAGTATGACTAGGAGAATACAAACCAACTTCAGCACAGTAGTTAAGTTTGAGGAGACACAGAAGAGAATGGGATCATAGTGGAATGAATATATATGGGCTTCCACCATACTGTCAACTTTTACTTTTATAAAAACACAACCAGATACAGAACAGGGCTGCTGACCAGTGCAAGTATGTAAACTGCTTGCTACTGGCGCTTGGACCACTAACAATAAGATGCCCAGGATGTAAACCAACACATAGCTTCCTTCATCAACAAACTCTTGTGAAAATAGCAACTACTGAACTGTGTGCTTGGTGGCATTTTTCTCTGTACTATTCTGCCACAGATAAGAGAGGAATTTCTTGCATCTAAGAGGACAGACTTCCATCCACATTCCTCTTTTGGTGTTAAAATGCTCCTTTTCTTTATGAAATGAGGAGGATAGTAGATGGGGGTCCTTCTGTCTTGTTCTTTTTTTTTTTTCCCAAAAATAATCTTGGATTGCACAATGTGAATGTACTTAACATTACTGAACTGCACACTTAAAAATAGCTAGGATTGGTAAATTTCATGTGTATTTTACTACAATTTAAAAAAACTTTTTATTGAGCTATATATAATCATCATATAGGAGTTTCAGGTGTACACATAATGATTTGATATTTGTATATATTGCAAACTGATCACCATAAGTCTAGCTAACAGCCATCACTAAAGAAATTTGTTAATGATCTTAGAAAACACAGAGTTGGCACTCCATGCTGGACACCTCCCCATTTCTTTTTTATTTTTTATATTCCTAGTTCATGAAATCCAAACATCTGGAAATCAATGTTCTGCAGTGAACTGTATAAGCCGCCTTCGGCTGCCAGCAGCTTACGTTTACATCAGTGTCTGTGTCTGTGTTTACGTGTGTATCTACAGACAAATTACACACACACACATAAAATCATGAACATGTTCCAAGTTAGGCACTAAGAAAGCATGATCTTTATTTTAAAAAGAGACCCTCTCCGTTTTGTGTCCCCTCTTTAGAGGTAAATATAGAAAATGTTGAGTACCACCACTGACTTAGCCAAACCAAGCCTCCCCCCACTGCTAAGATTCAATCCCATGCAAAGGCCTGTTTGTCAACCGACCTGTTCTTTACTTTCTACTCTTAAATGCTGGTGAGAAGCCAGACCCTGGGAGGGTGACAGGGAATAATTCCCAATTAAAGCAGACTTCTCAGAGGTTTCTCCGGTGCCCACAGTGCCCATTTGATTCTGCACTGACTCGGAGGTGCCACCAACAGAGTGTGAAACTGTGCAAACATCGATTTGAACTTTCACCCCAACCCTGTCCCCTCCCACCACGGACACTTGTAAATCACGTGTGATAATTATTGAAGTGACAGGCATAGCCCGAGTTTCTGTGAACGATGTAATGCTGATTCTCTTATGTTATTTATCTTAATACAACCCCAACCACATATGGTTCCATGCCTCTAAGTTCTCTGTGAGAACATTGTGAACTAACCTAATAAATTTAAGCCTTTTCTCAGAAAACTTGGAATCCAAGGCAGCCAAAACTTGGAATTTACATCTCAAAGCAAGAAAGCAGTTGGATTTTTTTTTAAAAGGAAACAAATGAGAAAGAAAGAAAAAGAAGAAAAGAAATTGGTAATGCATATGGAATCATGTAGGATGTCAACAGCTTTCAAATTAACAGGGAGATGCATGTCAAGGAGAATGTAAACAACTACAGTCCTGTGAACACATGATCTACAAACACTGAAATGGAGTACTTTTGGTTTGTTCTTTGTTTGTTTTTTAATTAACTGATGAGGATGTCCATAATGCAAAGGAAACACTGTCCAAGCCGTACAGGCTCTAGTACCACAGGAAGAAATCCAACCTTCCAAAGGCAGCTCTGGGCACATAGACGCTGCCAGGGGCCGGTAACCGTTCTGTGGCCAGCCTGTACTTTTCGTGGTGGATCCTGGAAAGTTCTGAGGGGGCTAAGGCAGGGGGGATGCTGCAGATATCTAGACCCCCAAACTCCCCAACTCATGATTAAATCCAGAGCAAATAAAGGATTTTCCTTGTCATAAAGAGGTCCATGCTTGAACAGCATAATGTAAGACTAAACCAGTTGCACATGCGTACTACTGCCCGGCTTGCAAACCGAAATGCCTTAAAGGGCTAGACGGGTAGCAAACTGAGGGAAGTAACAAAGTACCAGACAACAGGGACCGCAACCACACTGGAGAGGTCAAGTCCCACCTAAGGACAGTCACGTTTCTTCTTCAGCATCTGACAGATGTCATGTCAATGGGACAGATATGGGCCCCCTGTTGGGGCCTTCCACTTTGCACTCCCCCCCACCCCCGTGTGATCCCGTTGGCTCTGAACAAGCCAGTGACAGCTGTATTATCATCAGCATCCCACACAGAAACCACTGCCAGCTGCCGGCACCACAGGTACAGACATCTTCCCAGCTTCTCCCTCCCTCTCTGCTGACCCGAGCCACTTGCTACTTCCGAAGTGGCCCTGTCTGGCCCTGCTATCACATGCGTGTGCGATGGAAATCACAGCCGACAGGACCTGAGGGGATTCAGGGGGCTACAGAGCAAAGTTTCCCGCCCCCTTTATCAGCCAGCCTTGTTCCCAGCTAATTAAGGCTGAGTTAGTGTTGTGTTGGAGCCTTCCGACTTCCTCAACCATCGAGGTAGAAATATACAGGCAACTTGCTGCTAAACCACCAAGGAGCTGGACCCGTGTCAGAACCAGTTTCTCTTTAATTTGGCAAACAGAGATGGCCTCAAGGTCCCTACGTATCTTCTAGCAATGAAGACGAGGGCAAAGAAGTGCTGTATACTACAGGCAGAGTGGCAGGGGTAGCCAGTACCCAGCTTCCACTGCTTTAAAATGGGGATTACAGGGGCGTCTGGGTGGCTCAGTTGGTTAAGTGTCCAAATCTTAATCTCGGCTCAGGTCACGATCTCAGGGTCGTGAGACTGAGCCCCACATCGGGATCTGCACTGAGCATGAAGCCTGATTAAGATGGTCTCTCTCTCTCTCCCTCTCCCGCCACCATTCACACTCCTCTCTCTCTCTCCCTCTTTCAAAAAAAGGGCGGGGGGAGAATTATAATATTACCCTTCATACATGCCAAGTGCTTAGAACAGGGCCTGGCTCGTAGTAAGTGGAGATCACCAATTATATACCTGGTAGACAGTCAGCAAGGGGTTGGCTGGGCTTGCCTCTGTATCCCTGGCACCTAGAACAGGGCATGACTTATAGCTGGGGCTCAATATACATCTTAAATGAAGTTCATCAATTAAGCAAAAGAGAGTGTGTGGCTCCCTGAAAACAATGTGGAGTTTGGTGTCTACAGGTCTAGAGTTTGGTCCCATGCCAGCCACTTGCACGCTGTGAAACTGTATGCAAGTTACATGACCTACTGAACATCCATGTTCTCATTTAGTTCAGCGGGTATTTTATGAGATATTTTGCTTTTAGCTGCA